ATGGCAGCAGGGAAAGCTGGATCAGCCCGTCCATGGTGGAGCTGGGTCACATTGGGGTCCTGGCTGGAGGGGAGTGGTCACCAGTGCTCCCAGTACGGACCCCACAGCGGGAATGGGGTGGATCCTGGGTAATGGGGTGGATCCCACGGAAATGGGGTGGATCCCATGGATATGGGGGGATCCTGACCCCGCTGCCGACCCCCGGCTCTCTCCCCAGCCCGGGAGCAGCTCCGGCGATCCCGGCACAGCCGCACCTTCCTGGTGGAGTCGGGAGTGGGCGAGCTCTGGTCGGAGATGCAGGCAGGTACGAGGTGGGGGCACGGGTGGGGGTCCCCACTGGAGATTCCCAGATCCCGGCGTCCCCCTGGATGTCGCCTTCGTGGCAGAGCCACCCCCAAGCACCCAAGGGTGCTCCTGCTGTGGGGGTGACACGTTGGGGTCTGTCCCTTGACAGCATGGATGGGCGGGGTCTCCCTGCCACCTCCCCATCGCTTCGTCTCTCCACCCGCCCCAATTCCCAATATTTTGGTTAAAATTTATTTTTCCCCGGGAAAACGCAGCCCTGTGTCCCCGCGGCTGCTGTCACCCCGCGGGTGGGTGTCACGGGGGGTCACTCAGGACTGCCACCCTGTCGCTGTCCCCCCGCAGGTGACAGGTACATCGTGGCCGATTGTGGCGGGGGCACGGTGGATTTGACCGTGCACCAGATCGAGAAGCCGCAGGGGACGCTGAAGGAGCTCTACAAAGCCTCGGGTGGGATGAGGATCCCTATTCATCCTTTCTTCCTCCGCTCCGTGATCCTCCCGGGACCCCAAACCCCGGCTGGGACCCCAAACCCGGGCTGAAACCCCAAACCCGGGCTGGGACCCCAAACCCCGGCTGGGACCCCTAGCCCGGGCTGGGACCCCAAACACGGGCTGGGACTCTAAATCCGGGCTGGGAATCCCAAATCCGGGCTGGGATCCCAAATCCGGGCTGGAACCCAATCCCGGCCTGGGACCCCAAATCCGGGCTGGAACCCAAAACCCCGACTGGGACCCCAGACTCGGGCTGTGACCCCAAATCCCGGCTGGGACCCCAGACTAGGGCTGTGACTCCAAACGCGGGCTGTGACCCCACACCCGGGCTGTGACCCCAAACCCGGGCTGGGACCCCAAATCCCGGCTGTGACCCCAAACGCGGGCTATGACCCCAAATCCCGGCTGGGACCCCAGACTAGGGCTGTGACCCCAAACGCGGGCTGTGACCCCAGACCCGGGCTGTGACCCCAAATCCGGGCTGGAACCCAAAACCGGGCTGTGACCCCAAATCCGGGCTGGGCCCCAAACCCGGGCTGTGACCCCAAACCCGGGCTGGGACCCCAAACCCGGGCTGGGCCCCAAACCCGGGCTGGGACCCCAAATCTGGGCTTGGACGCCCCCGCCCCACGAAAGTGTCGTGGGTGGGGCTGTGTCGCCACCTGGTGGCGCGAGGGGGAAGTGCAGGGGGACAGAGGGGACAGAGGGAAGGGGGGATGGACTGAGGGGACAAGGAGGGACACGGGTGGATTAGGGGGACAAGGTGGGGCAGGGGGGATGGCGAGGGTGGGTGAGGTGGGACAGAGGGACAAGGGGCTGGGATGGAGGGACAGGGGTGTGTGGGGCACATGGGGACAGGGATGGCACAAAGACATCAGGATGGGGGACATGGGGACATGGATGCCACGAGGGCATTGGGATGGGGGACATGGGGACATGTGGGCACATAGGGGTGCCACGGGGATGTGTGGGGACCTCAGAATATGGGGAATGGGACATGGAGATGTGGGTGACGCAGGGACGTGGGGATGTGGGACATGGGGGAGACAAGGACGTGGAGATGAAGGACATGGGGACATGGGAATGTGGGAGATATGAGGATATGGTGTTGGGGGGACACGGGGACATGGAGGATATGGGGAACACAGTGAAGGGGGACATGACATCAGGATGGGGGACATAGGAGACACAGAGGCATGGGGATGGGGGACACGGGGACATGGGAATGTAGGGGACATAGGGACATGCAGATGTGGGAGAACGTGGTGATGGGGGACATGGCTGCCATGGGGACACGGCTACCATGGGGCCACCTCCTGACCCCACCCTTGTCCCGCAGGAGGTCCCTACGGGGCCGTGGGCGTGGACCTGGCCTTTGAGAAGCTTCTGTGCCACATATTTGGGGACGATTTCATCGCCACCTTCAAGGCCAAGCGTCCGGCAGCCTGGGTGGACCTGACCATCGCCTTCGAGGCGCGGAAGCGCGCTGCAGCCCCGAGCCGCTCCAGCCCCCTCAACATCTCCCTGCCCTTCTCCTTCATCGACTTCTACCGCAAACACCGCGGCCACAACGTGGAGACCGCGCTCCGCAAGAGCAAGTGAGGGGTGACGCGGCTTGGGGACATCTCGGGAGCGTGGGGACATGGTGGGAGTGACACTGGGGTGGGAGAGGGCAAGAGAGCGGGGGAAGGTGGGAGAGGGTGGGAGGGGAGAGGGCAGGGAAGGACCAGGTGAGAGTTCTCAGTCACCCCCGGGTCCCCTGTCTGTCCCCAGTGTCAACCTGGTGAAGTGGTCGTCCCAAGGGATGCTGCGGATGTCCCCAGAGGCCATGAACGAGCTGTTCCAGCCAACCATCACCCACATCATCCAGCACATCGGTGGGGCCTGGGGACACGCCCATCCATGGGGAACCTCTGTCCCTGTCCCACCCCCTGTCCCTGGGATCACTCCCCATCCCTGGGACCTTCCCTGTTACTGGGAGCCCCCGCCATTCCTGGGATCATTCCCATCCCTGCGGGATGCCCCCTATTCCTGGGAGCCCCTTCATCCCTGGAATCATTCCTGTTCCTGGGACCATCCCTGTCCCTATGAGCCCCCCATCCTTGGGACCATCCCCTGCCTGAGACATCCCCCCCATCCCTAGGACAATCCCACACCCTGGGATCCCCTTTATCCCTGTGACCCTGCTCCTGTCCCTGGCACCCCCCTGTGCCTGGGACCCCCCTTCATCCCTGGCACCTCCCCTGTCCCTGGAACCCCTTTTGTCCCTGGGACCACCCCTGTCTCTGGAACCCCCTCCATCCCTGGAACCCACCTTGTCTCTGGGATCCCCCATTCCTGGATACCCCATTCCTTGTCCCTGGAATCCCCATTGTCCCTGGGAACCTTTTATCCCTGGAATCCCCATTGTCCCTAGGACTAGCCCTTGTCCCTGGAACCCCCACTTTCCCTGGAAACCTTTTGTCCCTGGAACTCTCATTGTCCCTGGGAACCTTTTATCCCTGGAATCCCCATTGTCCCTAGGACCAGCCCTTGTCCCTGGAACACCCACTTTCCCTGGAAACCTTTTGTCCCTGGAACTCTCATTGTCCCTGGAAACCTTTTATCCCTAAAACCCTTCCTGTCCCTGGAAGCCCCCTTGTCCTGGGATTCTCCCGGTCCCTTGGCCCCATTCTGTACCTGGAACTGCCCCCATTCCTGGACTCCCCTAATGCCTGGCACACCATCACCCCCACCCCTTCCCCACACCTCTTCTCCACCATCCCAACCCCAAACCTCCCCTTTTATCCCCGCCTCAGACACCCTCCTGAAGAAACCGGAGGTCCACGGCATCAAATTCCTGTTCCTGGTGGGCGGCTTCGCCGAGTCAGCCATGCTGCAGCGGGCGGTGCAGGCCGCCTTCGGCCACTGCTGCCGGGTCATCGTCCCGCAGGACGTGGGGCTGACCATCCTCAAAGGGGCCGTGCTCTTCGGCCTGGACCCCGGCGTGGTGCGGGTGCGCCGCTCCCCGCTCACCTACGGCGTGGGGGTCCTCAACAAGTTCGTGGAGGGCAAGCACCCCCGGGAGAAGCTGCTGGTCAAGGAGGGCAAGAACTGGTGCACCGACATCTTTGAGAAGTTCGTGACCGTGGACCAGTCGGTGGCGTTGGGCGAGGTGGTCCAGCGGAGCTACTGCCCCGCTCGGCCCGGCCAGCGCCGGACCATCATCAACATCTACTGCTGTGACACCGATGACGTGGTGTACATCACCGACCCCGGCGTCAGGAAGTGCGGCACCATCAGCCTGGAGCTGGGGGACACGGGGGACGTGGGCCCGGCGCGGGGCCGGCGCGAGATCCGCACCAGCATGCAGTTTGGGGACACCGAGATCAAGGTGACGGCGCTGGACACGCGCACGGCGCGCAGTGTGAAGGCCACCATCGACTTCCTGTCCAACTGAGGGCCCCTGGGATGTGCTGCCATTGACTTCCTGTCCAACTGGGACTACCCAGGATATGCCACTATCGACTTCCTGTCCAACTGGGCGGCCCCTGGGATCTGCCACCATTGACTTCCTGTCCAAATGGGACTACCCAGGATCTGCCACCATTGACTTCCTGTCCAAATGGGACTACCCAGGATGTGCCACCATCGACTTCCTGTCCAAATGGCACTACCCAGGATGTGCCACCATTGACTTCCTGTCTAATTGAGGGGCCCCCATGATGTGGCACCATCAATATCCTGTCCAACTGAGGGGACACTGGGACATGCCACCATTGTCTTCCTGTGCAACTGAAACTAGCCAGGATGTGCCACCATCGACTTCCTGTCCAACTGAGACCTTCCTGGAGACTCCACCATTGAATTAACCTCCAACTGAGACCCTCTGTCATCATGGGGACACCTCCAGGATCTGCCACCCTTGACTTGCTCTCCAACTGAGGGGCCCTGGCATTGTGGGGACATCCCTGGAATCTGACACGATTGACTTCTGGTCCAAATGAGACCTCCCTGGAAATGCCACCATTGACTTCCTGTCCAAGTGACATGGGGACTACCATTGTGGGGACCACTGGGAGATGCCACCACTGACTTCATGTTCAACTGAGGCCATCCTGGGATCTGCCAGCACTGAATCCTGTCCAAGTGAGAGTCCCTGTCATTGTGGGGACACCCCCAGGAGCTGCCACCATCAACTTCCTGTCCAACTGAGGGGCCTTGGGAGATGCCACCATCAGCTTCATTTCCAGCTGAGACCCCGCCAACATCGTGGGGACCTCTGGGACCTACCACCATGGACTTCCTGTCCAACTGAGACCTTCCTGGAGATGCCACCATGGACTTCCTGTCCAACTGAGACCTTCCTGGAGATGCCACCATCGATTTCCACCCCAGCTGAGACCTCCTGTCACTGTGGGGACCATGCCAGGACCTGGCACCATTGATTCCCTCCCAGACTGAGACCCCCCCCCTTATCCTGGGGACCCCAGTCCCTGTCCCCACCCTCTCCCATCTTCCTTTAACTGGAATTGGCCTCATTACCCTTCCCCATCCCGAACCAGGACTCTTTGGGATTCTCCACCCAGGGGTGTCCCCTGTCCCTCTGGGCAGGTTCATGGAGGGGATCTGGGCTCCCAGCACATTCCCAGTGGGATTTTAATCCTTCCCAAGGTGGGATTTTGTACTTTAACCCCCCCTCCCCAGGCATGTAAGATATCTTTGTATTTATATACATATATATATATATATATTTGTAGGCACATAAAACCTCCTGAAATTGCTCCTGGTCCTTGTACCATGAGGAAAAAAAAAAGGAAAAGAGAGAAAAAAAACCAGGAAAAAAATCTGAGAAAAACAAAAAAAATACCCCAAAAAGAGGCGCTGGCAGCAACACAAGGACATGGCCGGGGGACATGGCCCCAACCCTGAAGCCATGGGGGACCCCCGCTCCCGCCCCACATTCCACAGGCAAAATTCCTCCCCCACCCCAGAGAAGAGGAAAATTCCCACCCCAAGAGGCACAATTCCCCCAAAACCCCCCCGGGGCTGCGGGGTGAGGGCGAAGCAGCGGCAGCAGCAACAAGCGGGGTCCCCCCTGCCCGCTTTGGGGACCGTGCTGTGCTTTGGGGACTTTGGGGTCCCCCGGGGTGGGGTTTGGGGTCAGTCGAAGCCGTGCCACTCGCTCTGCTCCGAGTCGTATTCCAGCTCGGCTCCCATGCAGCGCACCCCGTCCAGGAGCATCGGAGTCCCGTGGTGACGGTCTGGGGACATCAGGGGACACGGCTCGGGGACAGCTCACTGTCCCTTTGTGGGGGGGGTGGGAATGCCCCTTTTTAAGGGATTTGGGGGGGTTTTAGGCTCGCAGCAATGCTGGGGCTGGGTGGGTGGGGGATGTGTTGTCCCTTGTGTCACCGCTGTGGTCACTGCCCAGGGGTGGTGACAACCCCGGGGGCTGTGGGTGGCTGGGATAGGGGGTGGGGGACATGGGGAGCAAGGGGTTTATAGGGAGAGTCCCAGGGATGGGGGGATCCCGATGACAAAGGGGTCCCAGGGACAGGGGACATCCCAGAGACAAGGGGAGGGTCCCAGGGACAAAGGGGGGCCCAGCCAGGCACAGGGGCCCCGGGGACATTGGGGTCACCCCCCACCCCCTCCCCTCACCCCTACCCAGGGCTCTCCTCAACCCCCAGGCTGGGGAATTTTTGGGATGAAATCCCCCATTTTGCCCAATTCCTTAGCAGTACCCCAGAGCTGGGACAGCGCCAAGCCTGAACTGGGACAACTGGGAAGAGTGGCTGGGCCTGTGGCGGGGGAAGGGGACACCCCAGAACCCCCCCAGGGCAGAGCCCCTTACCCATGACCCGGGCCTGGACGGTGACCTTGATTGGGCCGGAGCTGTGTCCGGCCAGGAGCAGCTCCTCCTTCAGCACGCCCTCCTTGTGCGCCATGTACTCGCAGCGCACGCTGTGCCCTGGCAGCGGGGACACCGAGAGCTGCCGAGGGCTGCCCGTGCCCTCCTCACCCTGCTCGTGCCCTCCTCACCCTGCCTGTGCCCTCCTCACCCTGCCTGTGCCAGCCTGTGCCCTCCTCACCCTGCCTGAGCCCTCCTCACCCTGTCTGTGCCTGCCTGCACCTTCCTCACCCTGCCTGTGCCAGCGTGAGCCCTCCTCACCCTGCTCGTGCCCTCCTCACCCTGCCTGCACCTTCCAGAACTTTCCCTGCCCTCCTTAAACCCTTCCTGTCCCGCCTGTGCCCTCCTCACCCTGTCTGTACCTTCCTCATGCTGCCTGTGCCCTCCTTACCCTCTGTGCCCCTCCCTGCTCTCCCTGCACCTTCCTGAACCCTCCCTGCACCTTCCCCGCACTTCCTGTCCCCTCCCTGCCCTTGCCTGTCCCCTCCCTGCCCTGCCTGTCCCTGTCCCCTCCCTGCCCTTGCCTGTCCCTGTCCCCTCCCTGCCCTTGCCTGTCCCTGTCCCCTCCCTGCCCTGCCTGTCCCTGTCCCCTCCCTGCCCTGCCTGCTCCCCTGCCACTCACGGGTTCCCCACGGCTCCTTTCCCCTGCTCCGGAGAGGCCCTGGCCCTGATCCCAGCTCCAATCCCAATCCTGGCTTTGATCCCAATCCCAGCTCCAATCCTGATCCCGGTTTTGATCCCAATCCCAGCTCCAATCCTGATCCCGGTTTTGATCCCAATCCCAGCTCCAATCCTGATCCCGGTTTGATCCCAATCCCAGCTCCAATCCCAATCCCAGCTCCAGTCCCGATCCCAGCTCCAATCCCGACCCCAGCTCCAATCCTGGTCCAAATTTTAGCCTCAATCCTGGTCCCAGTCCCGATTCCAGTCCTTGTCCCACTCCTGATTCTGGCCTTAATCCCAGCCCCAATCCCAATCCTGATCCCAGTCCTGATCCTGGCTTCTGGCTCCAACCCTGGCTCTGATCCCAGTCCTGATCCCAGTCCTGATCCCGGCTTCTGGCTCCAATCCTGCCTCAAATCCCAGTCCTGATTCCAGCCTTGATCAGTCCAGCCTGATCCCAGCCTCAGTCCCAGCTCTGATCCCAGTCCCAATCCCATTCCTGGTCCCAACTCCAATCCCAACCCCGATACCGGATCCCCATCCTGGTCCACCCCCATCCCCAATCCCAATCCCGATCCCAATCCCTGCTGGGAATCTCCAAACAAACCCTAAAGCGCTTTTTTGGGATGCAGCCAGCGGCAGGTGGGAAAAGCCCTGTCCCAGCCCTGTCCCCACTGCCGGGAGGTGACACCGACGGCCCCGTGGGGACAGGGACGTGGGAAACAGCATCCACGGGCTGTGGGACAACTGGGATGGGACCGAGGTGGCCTGGGGGACCTGTGGTGTCCCTGGAGTGAAGCCCGTGTCCCTAAGGAATTGCCACCCAGCCCAGGGTGACGCTCAGCTGTTCCCAGGCTCCGGGATCCCACGGATGTGGCAGCGCCCCATTGTCCCCAAAGCAGAGGGTGGCACCTCTTGGAGCAATCCTTGTCCCTGTCCCTTGTGTCTGGAGCCCCCTGACCCACAGAGACCCCCGGGAAAGGAAAATCCCAACAAACAAACCATCCCAACAAATCCCAACAACGAAATAACGGAGTTGGGGACATCGGGGATGTCCCCGAGGACAAGGAATTGTCACCTCCCCGAGACACTGAGGGGACACCTGGGTGTGCCCCCTTTGGAAAAGGGCTGGGGACAGGGAGGGGACAGGGAGGGGACACGGTACCTTCCGGCAGTGGGGTGACACTGATGATGCGCAGGTTGGGGTTGGGGACAGGGAGGGGACAAATGTCCTTGCCCAGGCTCGGCGTGGGGGGCAGCAGGAAGGTGATCTCGTACTTGTGCAGGATCTTCAGGAATCCCACCTGGAAAAGCGGGATATGGGGTGACACCGTTGTCACCACCCCCCCTTGGGGACAAGGGACACTGGAGAGTCCCCAGGAAGGTGGGGACAGCACGTGGAGAGGGGGAATTGCATCCTAAACGTTCCTTCTGTTAAATCCCTCTGGGGGGAAGGGATTTGTGGCCTAAAAAATGCAGGAAATAATAAACAGGAGATAATTTAGGAAATCATTTCGGAAATAAAGCAGGAAAAGGTAACAAACAGGATGATTTTGCCCAAAAAAAAACCGCAGGAAAAAGATGGAATTTTGGGACAAAATTCTGGCGATAAGGACCCGTGGATGTCACAGGAGCAGGGAGAGGTTTTCCAGCTGTCCCTGGAAAAGGCAGGAGCGCCTCTTCCCATGGAATTTTTCCGCTGTCATGACAAAAAGCAGAGCGCTCCGGAGCCTTGGAAAAATCCATTTTGGGAAGGGAGCGAGCTGGGAACGATCCCTGAGGGAAAAAACATCCGGGGCCAGGATCCCAAAATCCCCCCAGGGGCTGGGACCATCCCAAACAGCTGGAAAAGGATCCAGGGAGAATCTTCCAGAGCCTGAAGGGGCTCCAGGAGAGCTGGAGAGGGACTGGGGACAAGGACACAGGGAATGGGGACATCTGGGGTGGGATTTTGGGAAGGAATTCCCGGCTGGGCTGAAATCCCCAAATTTTCTGTGGATCCCTGGGAGTGCCCAAGGGATCAGGATGAGCCCCAAGCTCTTTTTCCCCCCCCCCATTTTGGGATTTATCCCGGAAAAACAAGCACGATCTTCTCTTCCCAGGCACATCCCAGCCCCACCAGGGACCCCTCCCCGTGTCCCCGTGTCCCCGTGGGTGGCACTGCCACCCCCTCATCATGCGGTGGGAAAACAACAGCGGCCGCCCCCGGAGCCAGCGCCGCTTTTGGGATGGAATTCCGGCCACGAGGCTCTGACTCAGCGCTGGTGGCAGCTGCAGGTGCCACACGTTGGTGGCACCGCGGGTGGCTCCTGGTCCCCTCCGCTGGCACCGCCCCCCCGGGAGCGGTGCCACCCCCGGGAATGTGGCTGGAGGAGCTGGGCATGGCCCTGCTGGGATCCAGAGAGGACCCAGCGTCCCCAAAACGGGGCAGAGGGGACAGTGCCACGTGTCCCCCGTGTCCCCAAAGCCACCAAATGTGGCGCTGGATTTGGGGGGCGATCCGGAGTTGGTGCCCTCGGGAGCAGCCCTAGGGAATGACACCGTGTCCCCAAAGCCACCAAATGTGGCGCTGGATTTGGGGGGCGATCCGGAGTTTGGTGCCCTAGGGAATGACATGGAATTCTGGGGTGGCAACGCCTCAAAATCCGGGAATTTTGGGGAGTTGGGAGCCCCGGAGTCCCCAGGGGAGGGCGACATCCCCCCGTTGTCCCCCTGTCCCCACCTTGACCAGGAAGTGGCCGTCCTTGTCCTGTGTCACCATCACGGCCGAGTCGTGCAGCTGCTCCTGGAAGTGGACGTGGCCCTGTGTCCCCTCCTGGTGGTGGCCCTGGGTCCCCTCGGGGGTGAAGCGCACTCCTGCGCCCTTCCTCTTGCTGCCTGCAGGTGACAAAGGCCCCGGTCACAGCCGTGTCCCCAGGGGAGGTGGCCTTGAGTTGGGGACACGGGGTGGAGCGCGGTGGCATCAGGAGAGGCTTCCCTGTCACCCCCTCCCGGTGTCACCTGGGACACGGGGGACCTGTGGGGACAGCCAGCTCCTCTCCGAGCAGGGACCTGCCAACAGACCATGCCAAGAGGTCCCCAAGTGTCCCCAAGTGTGCCCAAGTGTCCCCAGGTGTCCCCAGGCTCGGCAGACTCCACTCCCTCCTGTGATGTCCTCAGGACAAGTGACACAGGCTGGGGACATGGGGACATGGGGCAGGGGACAGGTGAGAAGGGGGGAAAGCATGGAAGTGCCACCAGCCCATGTCCCCAAGTGTCCCCAGGTGTCCCCAGGCTCGGCAGACTCCGCTCCCTCCTCGGGCCGAGCGGTGCCCCGGGAAGGTGACACAGGGCAGGTGACACGGCTGCGACAAGGCCAGCAGGACAGGCCACATGGCAGCGCCGGGGCCCTGCCACCAGCTTGGGGACAGCGCTGTCCCCGGGGAGGCCCAAATCCCGTGGGATTTTCCACGTGCGCCGCTTCCACGCAAAATCCGCCCCTTCCTCCTCCTCCTCCTCCTCCTCCTCCTCCTCCTGCTCCCCCCGCCGAGCCCGCGCCCAGCTGGCAGCAGATTGTCACCGCCGCCAGCAGCAGATTGTCGCCTCCCTTGTCGCCCGAAGAAAAGGCTCTTTGTGCCGGCAGCGCCGGGAATCCCGGGGTTTAATGAGCCGGGTTTAATGAGCCGGGTTTAATGAGCCCGGGTTTAGGGCCCGGCCATTGTTCGGCCCCAAAGTCCGGGGGGACAGCGGGGGACACGGTGACAGCGTGGGGACACGCGGGGGGACACGCGGGGGACCCTCCTGGGTGGCGCCGTGGCGATGCCGAGGGACCCGCGCGGATCCCAAATCCCAAATCCCAAATCCCGGTCCCAGCCCGGGAACCCCGATCCCAAGCCTGGATAATCCCCAGTTTGTCACCCTGGTGGCACTTGGGGACATTCGGCCGAGGGGGCGCGGGGCCTTGGGAAGAGTGGGAGGAAGGGGGGATTGGGAATTGGGAATTGGGGTGGGCCGGGATTTGGGGTGACCCAGCTCGGTGACTTGGGGTGGCCTCGGCAGGGGACAGCAGGGACAGGCAGGGGTGGCAGCCGGGGATCGGGGATTTGTGGGATCTGGGATGTGTGGGATCAGGGATTCCCTTGGATTTGGGATTTATGGGATCTGGGGTTTGTGGGATCTGGGATTTGTGGGATCGGGGATTCCCTTGGATTTGGGATTTATGGGATCTGGGGTTTGTGGGATCTGGGATTTGTGGGATCAGGGATTCCTTTGGATTTGGGATTTATGTGACCCAGGATTTCTGAGATCACAGAATCACCTGGATCTGGGATTTTTGGGATCTGGGATTCCCTTGGATTTGAGATTTCTGGGAGCAGGGAATCCCCTGGATCGGGGATTTATGGGATCTGGGATTTATGGGATCTGGGAATCTTCTGGATCCAAGACTTTGGGGATCAGGGAATCTGCTGGATCAGGGATTTATGGGATCAGGGAATTCCCTGGATCTGGGATTTATGGGATTTGAGATTTGTGGGATCAGGGAATCCCTTGGATCTGGGACTTATAGGATCTGGGATTTACGGGATGAGGGAATTCCTTGGATCTGGGATTTCTGGAATCCGGGATTTGTGGGAGCAGGGATTTCTGGGAGCAGGGAATCCCCTGGATCTGGGATTTCTGGAATCCGGGATTTGTGGGATCAGGGATTTCTGGGATCTTGGAATCCCCTGGATCTGGGACTTACAGGATCTGGGATTTGTGGGAGCAGGGATTTCTGGGAGCAGGGAATCCCCTGGATCTGGGATTTCTGGGATCAGAACCCGCTGGACCCTCAGGGTCCCCTCCAAGATGTCCCCACCCCCTTTTTTTCCTGGGAACCTCCTGGGGCTCTCCCGGCCCCATTCCCAGGGAAATTCCCAGAGTGGAATCCCACAAAGATGCCTCGGGATTTGTCTCACCCCAAAAAGCGCTTGTGGGGTCCCTCAAATCCCTGGAGAGCGACAGAGGGGGGGAACAGGGACAGAAAAGCTCTGGGAAAACCCCAAATCCCGGGATGGGAACAGAGGGGCCCCAGGAGCTCCGGGAAAACCCCAAATCCCGGGATGGGAACAGAGGGGCCCCAAGAGCTCCGGGAAGACCCCAAATCCCGGGATGGGAACAGAGGGGCCCCAAGAGCTCCGGGAAGACCCCAAATCCCGGGATGCGGGACTCACCCTTGCCGGCTGTCGCCATCTGTCCCCGGCGCCGTCCGGCGATGTCGCTGTCCCCACTTTCAGCGGCCCGGGGGCATCGTCCGGGAATTCTGCGGGAATGGGAAGGCTCCAACTCCGTCCCATATTCCCGTCCCACTGCGGGGACCGAGGTGGCCCCGAGGTGGCCCCGAGGTGGCGGGGAGGAGCCAGCGACAGCGCCAGGGCCTGGAATGGGCATTCCCCCATCCCAAATCCCCGGGAAAAGCAGGGATTAGGGAATTCCCTCCGCCGCGTGTGCCTCAGTTTCCCCCTTTTCCCCCCAAAAAACGCCCCCGAGATTTGGGATTTTTATTCCAGATTCCCAGCGCTGATCCCAAACTTGGAGCCTTTCCCAAATCGTTTTTCCCGGGATAAACGGGAGATCAGATCCCAAAGCTGGAGCCTTTCCCAAATCGTTTTTCCCGGGATAAACGGGAGATCAGATCCCAAAGCTGGAGCCTTTCCCAAATCGTTTTTCCCGGGATAAACGCCACCGCCGGCCGGGAATTCGGGATGTGACATCCCAAAAAAAAAAGAAAAAAAATTAAAAAAAAATCCCAGGGATGGAATTGGAGGGTCAAACATCCTCCTCCTTCTTGGGATCGCCGCATGGGACCGGGAATGCCGGCAGGGACTGGGAAGTGGAAACCCCAAAACGCCGCGAAAAAAACCAAAAATTCGGGGAAAAAAAACCGGGATAAAACAAAACCGAGCGGGAACGCAAGGGGGGAGCCTCTCCCAAGGGGGAAACCCATGGATTTGGGGGCGCCTCAAGCCATGCTGGGTTGGGGGGGTGACAGAGAGGTGTCCCCGGGCTGAGGATGGGGGTGACAGGTGACACCGCGAGGGGAGAGCGCGGCCGATCGTCCCCACCCCCCTTTCCCCGAGCCCGCTTCACCTCCGCCATCACCCGCGGCCCGCGGGGCTGCCCCGGCCGCTCTGCCGCCCCCGGCTGTCCCCGGCTGTCCCCGGTGTCCCCCCGTGTCCCCGGTGTCCCCCCGGTGCCGCCGCGCCCCGCTCACCCCGCCGCTCCCGCTGCCCGCTTCCCGCTGCGGGGACACGCCCCCTGGCCGCCATTGGCTGGCGCGCCCCCACCTCGCCCTCCCATTGGCGGGCGCGCACGCCGGTCACGCCTCCAGGCCACACCCCGGGCGGTGCTTAACGGGCGTTGCTAAGGGGCGGGATTGTTGCTAAGGGGCGGGGTCTGTGGGCGGGGCTAAGGGGCGGGCGGCCAATGAGGAAGGGCGCGCGCGCCGCAGGGCGCCCCCTTGTGGGCGGTAGGGAGGTGCGGGGGGCGTTGCCATGGAAACGGGGAGGGCTGGGGGAGGGGCCTTTCCTTTCCTTTCCTTTCCTTTCCTTTCCTTTCCTTTCCTTTCCTCCTTCCCTTCCCTTCCATTCCCATGTAATTTCTCATCTCATCCCATCTCATCCCAATTCCCTCAGATCCATCCAATCCTGAATTATCCCAGTTCCTTCCCGTCCCATCCCATTGCATCCCAATTCCTTCCCATCAATTTCCTCCTTATTTAATTTCTTCTCATCCCGTCTGATCCCAAATCGTCTCAGCTCCATCCCATCCATCTCATCCCAAACAATCCCAATCCCAATCCCATCCCAATCCCATCCCAATCCCATCCCAACCCCAATCCCATCCCAATCCCAATCCCAATCCCAATCCCAATCCCAATCCCAATCCCAATCCCATCCCAATCCCAATCCCAATCCCAATCCCAATCCCAATCCCAATCCCAATCCCATCCCAACCCCAATCCCATCCCAATCCCAATCCCAATCCCAATCCCAATCCCAATCCCACCCCGCTCATCCTGGGAACATCCAGCCCTGTCCCTCCTGTCCCCATCCCGAGCTCCGTGTCCCTTCCCACGGGGACAGGGGACAGGGAGCGGCGCCAGTTCCCACCCGGAGCGCTCCGGGATTGTCCCCCGGGAATGCCGGGGACAGCGGGGTCAGGGGACACGGGAGGGACAGAGGGGACAGCGCCACCCCCGGGGGCTGCTCCAGCTGCTGGAACGCTTAAAAACCCGGGATCCGCATTCCCAGAAACCCGGGATCCGCATTCCCAGCGGTCCCCGGAGCCCCGGCTGTGTCCCTGTCACCGGCACCGTGACGTCACACCCTGCTTGTCCCCAAGGGAGGGGACACCAGGGCCCGGCTTGTCCCGCCATTCCCACATCGGCCGGAAATTCCAGGTTTTCCCTAAAAAGCCCCTCTGGCGCAGGGACGGTCCCCAGAGCCACCCCTGGGGATGTCACCTGGGGGAGGAGGGGACACGGGGGATGTCGCTGTCACCTCCCAGCGCCGGGCGCGGATTTGCTCCGGGATTACAAAAACAACGGGATTTGGGAAGGGATTAAATCCCGGCGGCCACCGGGCGGGGGGAGCGGCCACCGCGCCCCCAGGGTGTCCCCAGGGTGTCCCCAAGGCACCCCCACGGTGTCCCCACCCCGATGTGCCCATGGTGATGTCCCCACAATGTTTTCCCCACGGTGTCCCCAGTGTTGTCCCCACGGTGTCCCCACATTGCCGTCCCCACCCTGCTGTCCCCTCTCTGCTGTCCCCACGGTGTCCCCACCTTGATGTCCCTGCCCTGATGTCCTCGCGCCAATGTCCCCCGCAGTGTCCCCTTCGTGTCCCCCGAAGTGTCCCCATCGTGTCCCCACACTGCCACCTCCATGCTGATGTCCCCTCCCTGCTGTCCCCACAACCGTGTCCCCACAGTGCCACCTCCACAATGATGTCCCCATATGCCACCTCTACCCCGCTGTCCCCACAGTGTCCCCAGCACTGTCCCCGTGGTGTCCCCAGTGTCCCCACAGTGTCCCTCTAGTGTTCCCACTGCTGTCCCCAGTGTCCCATTGTCCCCATTGTCCCCCCAGTGTCCCCAGTGCTGTCCCCTCCCTACTGCCCCCACTGCTGTCCCGACAATGTCCCCCTGCTGTCCCCACAGTGTCCCCACATGTCCCCAGTGTCCCCACCGTGTCACCATTGTCCTCGCAGTGTCCCCAGTGTCCCCACAGTGTCCCCACTGCTGTCTCCTCCCCGCTGTCCCCACAGTGTCCACACAGTGTCCCCACATTTTCCCTCGTGTCCCCACAGTGTCCTCAGTGTCCTCTCAGTGTCCCCACTGCTGTCCCCGCTGTCCCCGCTGTCCCCACAGTGTCCCCACATGTCCCCAGTGTCCCCACCGTGTCACCATTGTCCCCGCAGTGTCCCCAGTGTCCCCGCAGTGTCCCCACTGCTGTCTCCTCCCCGCTGTCCCCACAGTGTCCACACAGTGTCCCCAGTGTCCCCACATTTTCCCCCGTGTCCCCACAGTGTCCTCAGTGTCCTCTCAGTGTCCCCACTGCTGTCCCCGCTGTCCCCACAGTGTCCCCACATGTCCACAGTGTTCCCCCCCGTGTCCACAGTGTCCCCACATTGTCCCCCGTGTCCCCACAGTGTCCCGTGTCTCCACGTCTCCAGTGTCCCCACAGTGTCCCCACAGTGTCCCCACATTGTCCCCAGTGTCCCCTCAATGTCCCCAGCGCTGTCCTCACCTCTGTCCCCTCCCCGCTGTCCCCATTGTCACCTCAGTGTTCCCACAGTGTCCCCAGTGTACCCAGTGTCCCATTGTCCCCAATATCTTCAGTGTCCCCGCAGTGTCCCCAGCGCTGTCCTCACCTCTGTCCCCTCCCCGCTGTCCCCATTGTCACCTCAGTGTCCCCACAGTGTCCCCAGTGTCCCCAGTGTCCCATTGTCCCCAATATCTCCAGTGTCCCCGCAGTGTCCCCAGTGTCCCCAGTGTCCCCACAGTGTCCCCCCAGTGTCCCCACAGTGTCCCCCCAGTGTCCCCCCAGTGTCCCCAGTGTCCCATTGTCCCCAGTGTCCCCACAGTGTCCCCATTGTCCCCTCACGGCCACCAACATCCAACTCTTTAATCCCGAGCGCCGCAGCCGCGCCGGGCTCGGAGCCACCGGGAGCCACCGCGCTGTCCCCGCGCTGTCCCCGCGCTGTCCCCGCGGTGTCCCCGCGCTGTCCCCGCGCTGTCCCCGCGCTGTCCCCGCGGTGTCCCCGCGCTGTCCCCGCGCTGTCCCCGCGCTGTCCCCGCGCTGTCCCCGCGCTGTCGCTGTCCCCGTCAGCGGCGGTGGCCCTGCAGCTGCTGCAGCCGCCGGCTCAGGTCGTCGATGCGGAGATTCTTGAGGAGCAGGAGCTGCTCCAGCCGCCCCACCTTGGCCTGCAGGATCTGCCGTTCCCCAGGGATTTGGGAGCCAAATCCCAAACCCCCGAGCCCCAAAATCCCAAATCCCCAAAACCCCCAAATCCCAAACCCATTCCAGGGGGTCTTCCCAGAGCAGGGGATTTTGGTTTCTTTTCCCAGAGGAATTTTGGAGGTATTTTTTCTCACTGAGGAGAAGAGATGGATTTGGGGTTCTGATCCCTTTCCCATTAAAAATAAAATGGGAATTCCAGATATCCCGCTGTTCCCATTCCCGGATATCCCACAGAATCCCGGCCCTTCCCAAAATTTACATTTGCAGTGGGAAAAAGCCGGATTTCAGGGGAGATTTGAGGGACGGGAAAAAGCAGAATGGGGGGATTGGGAAAAATCGGGAAAAACCGGGAAAGGGGGCACAGGGAAAAGCCGGGAAAATTCGGGAAAAAATCGGGAAAAACCGGGAAAAGCCGGGAAGGAGGACAGGGAAAATTTTAGGGAAGAAGGGACTGGGAAAAGCCAGGATAGGGGGACAGGGAAAAGCCGGGAATGTGGGACAGGAAAATTTTAGGGAAGAAGAGACAGGGAACAACCGGGAGAAACCGGGAAAAGCCGGGAGGGAAGGACAGGGAAAATTTTAGAGGAGGAACCGGGAAAATCCGGGAAAGGGGGGACAGGGAAAAACCCGGAAATGGGGACAGGGAGAATTTTAGGAAAGAAGGGACAGGGAAAATCCGGGAACAGGAGACAGGGAAAAGAGGGGAAAGGGGACGCAGAAAATTTTGGGAAAGAAGGGACAGGGAAAGCCGGGAAGGAAGGATGGGGAAAAACCGGGAAAAGCCTGGAAAAGCTGGGAAGGAGGGACAAGGAGAATTTTAGGGAAGAAGGAATCGGGAAAAGCCGGAAAAGGAGGACAGGGAAAAACTGGGAAAGAAGGACAAGGGAAATTTTACGTAAGGAAGGACCCGGAAAAGCTGAGATAGGGGGAGAGGGAGAATTTTCGGGAAGAAGGGACAGGGAAAAGCCGGGAAAAGCCGGGAAAAGCCTGGAAAGGGAAAAGCCGGGAAAGGGGGACAGAGAAAAAGCAGGAAAAACTGGGAAAAGCCGGGAATAGGGGACAGGGAAAAGCCGGGAAAGAGGGACAGGGAACATTTTAGACAAGAAGGGACAGGAAACAGTCGGGAAGGGGGATCGGGAAAAGCCGGGAAAGGGGGACAGGGAAAAGCTGGAAAAGACGGGAATAGGGGATCGGGAAAAGCCGGGAAAGGGGGATAGGGAAAAACCGGGAAAAGCTGGAAAAGCCGGGAATAGGGAACAAGGAAAAGGCGACAAAGGGGGACAGAGAAAATTTCTGAGAAGAAGGGACGAGGAAAAGCCGGGAAAGGGGGACAGGGAAAAGCCGGGAAGAAGGGCGCGGGGACAGGACAGTGTCGCGCGTGTCCCCCCGGGATGTCCCCGCGCATCCGGGGTCTCTCCGGACGCCGGGATTTGGGATGGGCTCACCTGGATCGTGTCCCGCGCCAGCGCCAGCGCCTGCTCGCGCTCCGCCAGCTGCTGTCGCATGTCCCCAGGGCCAGCCCCGGGCTGCCCCGGCACTGTCACCACCCTGGCGCGGGGACACGGCCGTGGGGACAGCGCTGAGCCCTCCCGTGAGCCCCCGAGGGGACGTTCCCAAATCCTGTCCCCCGATCCCACGGGAATGTCCTGATCTCCCGCGGGGACACGCAGGGGACACTCGGGGACACCCAGAGCCACCGCAGTGACCCCCAAAGCCCAGGGTGAACCCCTGACCCACAAAATAACCCGAGGCACATAGGGGGACACCCTGACCCCCATGGGGACACCCCAAACCCCACAGAGACCCCAAACCCCCACAGGGATCCCCCAAACCCTCACAGGGACCCCAAACCCTCACAGTGACCCCCCAAACACCACAGGGACCCCAAACCACCACAGGGACCCCAAACCACCACAGGGATTCCCCAAACCACCACAGTGACCCCAAACACCACAGTGATCCCCCAAATGCCACAGTGACCCCAAATCCTCACAGAGACCCCAAACACCACAGTGACACCAAACCACCACAGGGATCCCCAAAACCACCACAGTGACCCCAAATCTTCACAGTGACCCCCCCAAACCCCCCACACACCCCAAAGCACCAAAGGGTCGCCGCCCACCCCACAGTGATCCCAAACCACAACAGGGACCCCCAGACCTCTCTGGGGACACCCCAAACCCCACAAAGATCCCCCTCAGTGATTCCCAAACCACCGCAGTGACCCCACACCAACAAAGGGTTCCCCCTTAACCCCACAGTGACAACCTGACCCCACAGGGGACACCCAAAACCCACAGTGACCCCAAACCACCACAGGGACCCCCTGAGCCCCCTCAATGACTCCCAAAACCCCACAAGGACCCCCAGCCCCCCACAGTGACCCCATAAAGACCCCCTGGCCCCAAAAGGGTCCTGACCCCGCCCAGCCCTCACCTGGCAGCGCCATCCTGGATGCAGCCACTTCCCAAATCGCTCCGGACATTGGGCTGGCCTGGAAAACCCCACAGGGATGGATGATGGATCCCACCCTCCCAGCCAGCAATTCCTTGCCCAGATCCCAGCCCAATCTCCCCTTGGCCAGTGGCAGCCATTCCCTGTGTCCTGTGCCCCTGTCCCTTGTCCCCAATTCCAGGTCTCCTGGAGCTCCTTTAGGAACTCTGAGTATTCCCTAGAATTTTCCGTACTCCAGGGGAACATTCCCAGCTCTCCCAGAGCAGAGGGGCTCCAGAATCCTGGAATGGTTTAGTTTGGAGGAGACCTTAAACCCCATCCCATCCCATCCCATCCCATCCCATCCCATCCCATCCCATCCCTCCCCAGTCCCTCTGCAGCTCTCCTGGAGCCCTTTCAGGGACTCTGAGGATTCCCTGGATTTTTCCCTTCTCCAGGGGAACATTCCCAACTCTCTCAGCCCAGCTCTAGAGCAGAACCCAGGAACGATTTCTCTTGGGAATGACCCTAAATCCCACCCAGCAATCATTCCCTATCCCAGCTTTCCCCAAACCCAAATATCCAACCTTTCCCAGGATTCCCATTCCCGGTAATCCCCCATTTTTGGGATTTCCTCCCCATGTTTGGGGATTTCCTCACCTTCCCGCCCCCTCCCTTGCTGTTCCTCTGCCTCTGGAGGATTTTGTCCCGCAGGAGCTGCAGGAGCTGCTCGGCCGTTCCCGGCCGGCTCCGCGCCAGCGCCTGGATCATCTCCTCGGGGAGCCGCAGGTTCAGCTTGCTCAGCACTTTCCTGGGGGGACACAGAGGGACAGAGATGGACACTGGGGATACAGAGGGACATGGGACACAGAGGGAGAGAGGGACACAGAGGGACACAGGGCACAGAGACAGACACAGAGGGACACGGGGGACATGGAGGGACACAAAGGGACAGAGAGGGACAAAGGGGACACAGAGGGACACATGGGGACACAGAGGAACACGAGGCACAGAGACAGACAAAGGGACACAGGGAACATGGAGGGACACAGAGGGACACAGGGGACACAGAGGGACACGGAGGGACCCAGAGGGACCCAGAGGGATCCAGAGGGGCACAGGGGGACACTAGGGACACCAATCCCCACCCGCTGCATGCCACTGTGTCTCTGTGTCTCAGGATGTGACAAACAGGGCGACACCGCCCGCAGGACACGTGGGGACGATCTGGGGACACCCCGCACGTCACACGGAGCTGGTGGCACCTGTCCCTACCTGTTGAGGTGGCCCCAGTTGGCGGCTTTCTGCGCCGTGGAGCTGGTGGGCACAAAGCTGTGCAGCTCCACCAGGGAGGGGAAGAAGAACTTCACCACCTCGGCCGCCAGCACTGCGGGGACAGCGGGGACACGCTGCGGGTGGCACCACGGCCACAGCCCGCCCCGGCCACCCCGCCGTGTCCCCGCAAGGCCAACCCCCGTCGCTGAAGTCGCGGGCGATGTTCCTGCGCGGCCGCGACAGCGGCACCGTGTCCAGCCAGCGGTACAGGGACACCAGGGACGCGTCCGGGCCCGGCTCCGGCCCCTCGGCCGCCATCGCGGCCCGGCCTCAGCGTCTCGGTGCCATGGCAACGGGGGCGGGGCCTGCGCGGAGCGTCTCGGTGCCATGGCAACGGGGGCGGGGCCTGCGCGAAGCGTCTCGGTGCCATAGCAACGGGGGCGGGGCCTGCGCGGAGCGTTGCAGTGCCATGGCAACAGGGCGGGCCTTCAAGGCGAGTCTCATTGCCATGGCAACAGGGGCGTGGCTTCAAGGAAGCGGGTCTGCTGCTATGGCAACGGGGGCGGGGCTCAGTGGGAGCGTCGCGGTTGCCACGGCAACAGGGGCGGGGTTTAATGGGAGCGTTTCTGCTGCTATGGCAACGGGGGCGGGGATTAATGGGAGAGTCCCGTTGCCATGGTGACAGAAGTGGGGCTTTCGGGGTGCGTCCTCCTGCCGTGGAAATGGGGGTGGACACCATGGATGGGATATTGATACAGGGATGGATTATGGACACCAAGGATGAGATACGGATATTGGGGTGCAATATGGACACCGGGATGGGATATGGACACTGGGATGGGATATGGACACAGGATGGGATATGGACATTGGGATGGGATATGGACACCATGGGGGGGGATATGGACACAGAGATGGGATACAGACACTGAGATGGGATATGGACATTGGAATGGGATATGGGCACCATAAATGGAATATGGACACCAGGATGGGACATGGACACCAGGATGGGACATGGACACAGGGATGGGATATGGACATTGGGATGGGATATGGACATTGGAATGGGATATCGACACCGGATGATGTATGGACGCCATGGGTGGGATATGGACACCATGGATGGGATACGGATGCTGGGATGGGATATGGACACTGGGATGGGATATGGACGTTGGAATGGGATATGGACGTCATGGATGGGATATGGACACCAGGATGGGACATGGACACTGAGATAGGATACGGACACCATGGAGGGGATATGGACACCGGGATGGGATATGGACACTGGGATGGGATATGGACACAGGATGGGATATGGACACTGGGATGGGATATGGACATCATGGATGGGATATGGACACCATGGATGGGATATGGACACAGGGTGGGATATGGACATTGGGATGGGATATGGACACCATGGGGGGGGATATGGACACAGAGATGGGATACAGACACTGAGATGGGATATGGACATTGGAATGGGATATGGGCACCATAAATGGAATATGGACACCAGGATGGGACATGGACACCAGGATGGGACATGGACACAGGGATGGGATATGGACATTGGGATGGGATATGGACATTGGAATGGGATATCGACACCGGATGATGTATGGACGCCATGGGTGGGATATGGACGCCATGGAGGGGATATGGACACCATGGATGGGATACGGATGCTGGGATGGGATATGGACACTGGGATGGGATATGGACGTTGGAATGGGATATGGACGTCATGGATGGGATATGGACACCAGGATGGGACATGGACACTGAGATAGGATACGGACACCATGGAGGGGATATGGACACTGGGATGGGATATAGACACCGGGATGGGATATGGACACCGGGATGGGATATAGACATTGGAATGGGATATGGACACCGGATGATATATGGACACCATGGAGGGGATATGGACACAGAGAATGGATATGGACATTGGAATGGGATATGGACACTGGGATGGGATATGGACATTGAGATGGGATATGGACACCATAAATGGGACACGGACACCGGGGTGGGATATGGACAACGGGATGGGATATGGACACCGGGGTGGGATATGGACACCGGGGTGGGATATGGACACAGCCCAGTGACACCCCCTGACCAGGGCTGGTCCTTACGGAGGTGAATGGGACCCCCCCGGCAGGAGGAGCCGCCCCTCGCCTGCACCTGCCGGGGGTTCCCAGCTCCCACCCCCTCCGTGTCCCTCCCCCCAGCCATGCCCCCCCTGGCCGGGCCGTGTCCCCAAAATCCCCCCTCAAATGTCCCTCCCCGGCGCCTTCCCGCGCTTTAAGCCCCGCCCCATCTGACCCGCCTCTCCACCCCATTCCGCCTCCAATTGGCTGCAGCTCCCGTCAATCATCCGGCTCCGCCCCACCGGAGCACCGAGTACTTCCGCACTGTCGCCGGCCCCGCCCTCCGCGCCTTTTTATTCGCTATCATTCCCGCCAATCATCATTTTAGCCAATCATCTCCTGCTCGTTCTTACCCCGCCTACCGCGCGCTCCCATTGGCTGCCGCCCCCTCCATTTTTGCATAAAAATTTCCCCCGCAATCCCCTCTCTTCCTCCCCTTTTTAAAAAATTTTCCCCTCATTTTTTCCACCTTTTTCTCCCCACTTCCCTGTTTTTTGTTCGCTTCCCCTCTTTTAATTAATTTCCCTCCCTTTTTGTTCCCTTCCCCCCCTTTTTTTAAATTTTCCCCCTTTTTTTCTACCTTTTTCTTCCCCTTCCCTGTTTTTTATTCTCTTTCCCCTCCCTCTTTTCCCTCTTTCAGTTCCTTTTTCTCCCTTTTCCTTCTCTTTTCCCCACCCTATTTCCCCCCTTTAATTTTATTTTCCACCTTTTTTACCCCTCTCTTCCCCCACTTTTAGATTCCATTTTCCCTCCCCTATTATTTCACTTTTTTATTCCCTTTCTCCCTTTTCCCCTCGTTTTTATTCCCTTTCCCCCATTTTTAATTCCCTTTTTCCTTCCCTTTTCCCCCTGGACATTTTTGTTTGTTTTGTTTTAGGTTTATTTGGGATTGTTTTGGATTTTTTAGGGTTTTTTTATTATTATTTTTGGTATTTTTCGGATATTTTGGGGCGTGTTTGGGGTAATTTTGGAGTTATTTGGATTTGGTTTTGATATTTTTGGGAGTTTTTTGTATTTTGGGATGGTCCTGTTGGATGGGGGGGATGATCCCTCTGGATAAGGGGGATGATCCCACTGGAGAGAGGGCATGAGACCCCCGGATATGGGGGATGAATTCCCTAAATAGGGGGAATGATCCCACTGCTTTTGGGGGATGAGATCCCTAAACAGGGGAGATGATCCCACTGGATGTGGAGATTGATCCCACTGGACAAGGGGGATTGATCCCACTGGTTTTGGGGGGATTATCCCCCTGGAGAGCGACAATGACACCACTGGATATGGGGAATGATCCTACAGGATTTGGGGGATGGGGGGGATGAGATCCCACTGTTTTTGGGGGATGAGAAGCCGCTGGTTTTGGGGGAGGATCCAAGTGCCTGAGGGGACTGAGATCCCTGGGTAGGAGAGATGATCCCAATGGTTTTGGAGGGGATGAGAACCCTGGATATGGGGGATGAATTCCCTAAATGGAGGAATGATCCCTCTGGATCGGGGGGATGATCCCACTGGTTTTGGAGGATTGATCCCACTGGTTTTAGGGGATGATTCCATTGGATATGGAGGATGACATCCCTAAACAAGGGGGATGATCCTCTTAGATGGGGGGGATGAGGTCCCTAAATAAGGGGGATGATCCCTCTGGATTGGGAGATTGATCCCACTGGATATGGGGGGTGAACTCCCTAAATAGGGGGAATGATCCCACTGGTTTTGGGGGATGAGATCCCTAGATATGGGGAATGAATTCCCTAAAGAGGAGGGATGATCCCTCTGGATATGGGAGATGAACCCACTGCTTTTGGGGGATGATTCTCTTGGGTAAGGGGGGACGACCCCGCTGGATTAGGGGATTGATCCCGCTGGATATGGGGGGATGAGATCCCAGTGCTTTTGGGGGATGATCCCACTGGTTTTGGGGATTAAACCTCCTGGATATGAGTGGGATCATCCAATTTTTCTGGAGAGATCATCCCACTGATTTTGGGGGATTTAATCTCTTGGATAAGAGTGGGATGATCCCATTCTTCTGGAGGGATCATCCCATAGGATAAAGAGGGATCAACCCAGTAATTTCTGGAGGATTGAACCTCCTGGACATGAGTGGGATCACCCCACAGGATGGGAGGGATCATCCCACACTTTTGGAGAGATCATCCCACAGGATAAAAGGGATCACCCCACAGGACAGGAGGGATCACCTCACAGGCTAAGGGGGATCATCCCACACTTTTTGAGGGATCATCCCACTGATTTCTGGGAGGGATCATCCCACTGATGTGGGGGGAATTGAACCTGTTAGATATGAGGGGGATCATCCCACTGATTTTTGGGGGATTGAATCTCTTGGATAAGAGTGGGATCATCCCATTCTTCTGGAGGGATCACCCCACAGTTTTGGAGGTATCCGAGTCCCCCATATCCAGGAATCATCCAGCATTAACGGGATCACCCCACAATTCCCAAACCCTCCCAAGTCCCATAACCCACCCACTCCTCCTTGGGGACAATTCCGAGGTGACGCCGGCGCGGGGCCGCTCAGGGCACGCTGAGCTCCCTCTGGCACACCCAGGGGAAGCTGAAGTTGCAGTTGTGGTCCTTCCAGAGCCCCGCGCCCACCGGGTGGATGCGGACCCTTGGATAGGGGGGATGAGGCCTCTGGATTTGGGGGATCATCCCACTGATGTGGGGGGAATTGAACCTGTTAGATATGAGGGGGATCATCCCACTGATTTTTGGGGGATTGAATCTCTTGGATAAGAGTGGGATCATCCCATTCTTCTAGAGGGATCATCCCACAGTTTTGGAGGGATCATCGCATAATATAAAGAGGGATCAACCCAGTAATTTCTGGAGGATTGAACCTCCTGGATATGAGTGGGATCACCTCACAGGATAAAAGGGATCACCCCACAGGGTAAGGGGGATTATCCCATTCTTCTGGAGGGATCATCCCACACTTTTGGAGGGATCATCCCACTGATTTTTTGGCAATTGAACCTCCTGGATATGCCTGAGATCACCCCACAGTTTTGCAGGGATCTGAGTCCCCCATATCCAGGAATCATCCAGCATTAACGGGATCACCCCACAATTCCCAAACCCTCCCAAGCCCCATAACCCCCCCTGCTCCTCCTTGGGGACAATTCCGAGGTGACGCC